GGGGATATATGGTAGAATTTTGAACTGAACCCTTTATTTAGTCCACAGGAGTAGATCGTTCTAGTTCTACGTGCCGTGCCTTTTCTGGATATCTCAGTTTAGGCTATTTCCATTTAATAATTCAACTGTCGAAGTTTTTGTTAACCTCTGCTGTGGATAGGTATTGAACTCACAATTCTTTGGGTGAAGTCACTGGATTATTTCAACCAACGCACAACAGTTCAAACAATGTAAATAATGTAACTACTTACAATACCTCATCTCAGAAGTTAGATAGATACTGTCGGGGTTACCTCCTCCTTAATTTCCTGATTTTTGGAACCGCTACTTGGGGACGCTCTCAGTTGACTATATATACTTGGTGAGACCTCGTCGTATCTTCTTTTTTTTTTCTCACTTTTCAGCTGATATACCACGATGTAAATCTCTAGTGAAAATTTGCGTCTTCCACTTCGCAGGGTGCGCTATGCGTATGTTTCGGGAAACACGCATGACTATTATCTACACACACACACACACACACACACACACACACACACACACACACACATACACACGTACGCACGGACATTCACATTAACTACATTTAACTCAAAGTTTCTACATTCATTCATACGTACTCATTATCGTCTTTGTCTATTGTAACCCTTATTGTCTGTTAATACACATATACCTTTTTTGTATATATATATATATATATATATATATATATATATGTGTGTGTGTGTGTGTGTGTGTGTGTGTGTGTGTGTGTGTGTGTGTGTGTGTGTGTGATGGTCTTTATTGTTTTCTCACATTTCTTTTCCTATTCCTTTAGATGGACTCGTAGATACTCCGAGTCCGCCATGTTTGTAGTGGGTTATTTCAGGAGACGCACGTATTTGTCTCCCAACGCTTACAAACAGCCCCATACAGATACCTTGATGACACACAGAAATTACATAAAATTTATTATAAGAGACACTCAAGGAATATAGTCTGATGAATAATCTATATCAGTGAGAAAAAAGAAGCGATGACAAAGAAGGTGAAACATAATAATAGTAGCAACAGTGGCAGCAGCAGGCAGGCAATAAATACATTATGTTTCAGGGCGCAAGTTCTAGGTTCAGGATTGGGCCAAGAATCTTCTTCTAAGTTCCGTGTTCCTTTCAGGAAGTAGGAAACCATGGCTCTCTACTCTTTCTTCTTTGGAGTAAGTAATAAATTTTGTCATTTTGCTATCTCTCTTAAATATTTTTTCCGACATCTATTTACTCAGGATCGCGTAGTTTCCATCTTTCTCTCTTGCCTTCAATCTATGCCGAGTTTATAAAATTTTCAAAGCCTCCTCCCCTCATTATGTGCGCTAGAAATTCCAACTGTCTCACCCTGGTGATTCTTTTTATTTCCATTTTCCTTAAAACTTTGTCGTTGCCCGGTTCATGTTATTCTCAGCAACTTTATGTAAAACCATATTTCTGTTGCTTCAATTCAAGTCTCTTCTTCATCTTTGGGGAGATTTTCCAATATTCACTGTCATATAATTATTTACCCGCTGCCCTACGCAGCAAGATATGGCAGAAGGCCGAGTATAAAGTGGGGTATCCAACCCAGTAGGCTCGGGCAAAAATTCCCTACAGACCACGTAAAAACGGAGTCAGTTTCCCGAGACGAGACGCTGCCCCTCGGCAGAGCCTCGTCTGGAGGATACCTTCTGACATAAGCCAGGTAAGTATAAAAAATATTCACTGTCATATAGGAGAACATATTTCACGTGGAAGTTCAGTATTCGTTTGTTTGTTTCTAACGAAATTCTTATTTCTTCGTATTTTGTCTAGTTTTTTTTTGGAAGAAAGCTGTCACTATCCCAAAGCGCTTTCGTGTCTCAATAGAAATAATAGCGTTTTGGATTATAGCATCGGTTCGTGAATTCGTTGTCATCGTAATCGTAAGTTCAATCCCTGTAAAAGCTTGTACAGGCTCGGTGGAAAATAAACTGAGTAACAACTAAGCAATGCTAAAATATAGAAGACACAGGACGTAGAGGAAAGAAAATAAAGTGTTTAAAAATACGCAGCATTAACCTCTAACTTGAGAAAGTTGTGGCTCGATGCTCCAGAGCGTATTGACAGATTTAGCTACAACATATATTATTGGTAGTTGCACTTTAGTAATGTTTGCCTATAAAGTCACGTGAGTTAATATTAATTCCATGCATCTCTCGTCATCCATCATTTCTTACGACAGCGAGTAGTTAATAGCACACCATATAGGGATCTTTAAACTTGGTTGGTTAGTAGTCTACAAGAAGCACAATTCTTTTCAAACCCGCTTGAAGGTAGGGCTACTAACATTAAACCTTAAAAGGTACTTGCTACGAGATTGTCAGAACCTACACTGGCAAGTCTTTAACATTAGTCTCCACATGAGATTCTACAGGGACGACATATAAAAAAAAATTATATATATATATATATATATATATATATATATATATATATATATCCAACACTCTAATTTTAATTATTATATATATATATTTTTAGAATCCTTTCACACCAAGCAAAGCGGTAATGCCACAAGTATGGAGGGGATTACAGCAACTGGAAATGAAAGAAAAGGCTGTGTATAGGGAGGATTGAGGAAACGACAAAAGATTAACGGGGTTCTTGAAGATAGCGATTGGCGTTGCATCTAATTTTTGAAGATTTAATTGTCGGGGAAGCAAAGAAATGGAAGGAAGTTCCACAGGTGAGTAGTGCGAGAAAAGAAACTGCTGGAGAAGAAGTGGTCGTTGTATTTAGAGTTTTCAACAGTAAAAGAATGGAACCTAGATTCCAATGTAGCAGCAGGCTTAAATTCATGTATTCGGCGCACCAGAGAAAAATCTCGTCAAAGCAGTTAATATGAAAATATTTGTAGAAAAGACAGAGGAAAGCCACGTGAGAAAGTGACTGAATTCAAGATGTCTGGTCAGCATCAGTTACATTACACATCCTTCCTTTGATTTTGTCAAGAATCGCACGTTGTACAGCAGGAACACCAAACCAGATATGGCAAGATTATTCAAAGCACAAACGTATGATGAAATTGTAAATGTTCAAAATGGATTCTGTCGAGTAAAATTTTCTGGCACGACTCAGTGACCCAACTGTCCTTGCAGTAGATGCAGCTATTGATTCGATATAGCCGCTCCGATTCATGTTAGTTGAAAACATGGACCAAGAATCCGTAGTGTGTTGCTCACCTGGGGGGAGTCTGCTTGAAGCTTTATGAAAGCGATATTAATTTCACCCCAGGCAAGGTTATAAAGCCATTACGATGCGGGGAGGACAGGGTGTTTGAGAATATAAGAAGACTTTAGTAAGGAGAAGACAGGAGAAAGGACAATAATGGAACGGGGTTAAAAGACGACAGAAGATTACAATTCGGGTTGCGCTTACATTTTTGAAGATTGTTGATGGCAGGGAAACTAGAAATTGGAGGGGAGTTCCTCATGGAAGAAGTGCGAGAAAGAAATTATTAGATTAGAAATGACGGTTGTATCTAGCGCGTTCAACAGTAAAATGGTGATACTTAGTTGTCTATCTATTAACACGCTTAAATTTATGCAGACGCCCCCATAAGGTGAACATTTCATCAGAACAATTACCATGAAAATACTATATATATATATATATATATATATATATATATATATATATATATAAAAAGTCAACACTTAGAGGCGACAGTCTGTTTAATGCTAGATGCAATCGTCAGGCCACGAGCACTTTTATAATTACACACGCTCTATCTCTGATATTGAGACCATAAATATAGCACATCTTAAGCCTATATTTCTTCTTTTATATATATATATATATATATATATATATATATACATTCGGATCGGGACTTGATAACAGCTATTTTATTATCTTCTCTCCTAGAAAACTTTTACGCTCAAAAGATCACGACACATTATAAGAATCATGCATAAAAAGGACCATTATTTTTGGTAAATCCTCATTTCATTTGAAATTCTGAACCTTGAACATATTCCATTCAAAGAAAATCTTGTCCATGAAATCGCAATAGTTAGTTCTATTCAATTTAAATCCTTCGTCGACTTGGAATGGTTCAGTAATTTTTCACCAATTCCAGCCCATATCAGCATTGTCATTTACTTGCTGCCTTCTTTCAGGCCTGGTTCATCTGCATTGAAGAAAATATATTTAACTTCACAGATTAAACATGGAAAATAGAAATAATTGACTTCTTTTCTGAAGCATGCTAAATGAGGTGTGTCTAATGAAAATCACAGATGCAAAACACTTGATTGAACACATAAAGAGTGAATGTGCTAATATTGACGGCAATGTGAAGTTACTGTATCGAGTTCACGTGAATCTTGAAAAGCGCATCAACATTTGCATCACAAGTGATGGAAATCATATTGAAGAAGGTATTGGTTAATTCAATAAAATGTTGCTGAAAAATTCAATTCTTGAAAACATCCATTTTTGCCTGTGTCCAGACTTTACGGATACCTTGTATATAGTGTGCTTTTTGTACTTCTCGGTTTTGCGTATAACTTCTTCCTTATATACAGTATTTACATTAGTCGGACTATTGTCCTCATCTTTGTCGCCATATGTGTCTTCAAGGACACATGGCACAGTGGATAAAGGCGTTGGTTAGAACCAGTGACAGACCCAAAGAAGGTGAGTTCAATACCTGGTTAAGCCAGTGGAGAACTTTCAGATTGAAAAATTAGCAGGAGATAACTGATAGCAGACATCCATCAAACATGGCACGTGGAACTAGAACAGTCTACCCCAGTGATCGAAATAAAGGGTTCAGTTCGAAATTCCAACCACCTGAAGAAGGCCGGAGCGTACAACGGCCGAAACGTTGTGACAAAAATGGCGACAAAGATGAGGACAATAATCCGACTAATGTAAATACTGTACATAATACCTCATCTCAGAAATATAGACAGATTCTTCCTTATATTTTCAGTGTCTCTTTTCTGGATGGTTCTTGTTTTTATCTTTCATCTTTTCTTGAAAGGACATTTAACGCTAATCTTTTCTTTGTTCTTCGTTTTCTTTGTTAAAGAATTTCATTCAACGACTTTCGCAAAATTTGATCCCGTTTCTTTCATTTCTCTTCTGCATTGTCTTTCTTTCTTTCTTTCTTTCTTTCTTTCTTTCTTTTCAAGCTATCACGATACATCTGAGTACAAATAAATTATATTTAAGCTCCTGCCAAAAAAATATGGACCGCTCAAGAAAATCGAAAAAAAATCGATATTGCTGGAACCTTCTCTGTGAAATCTTACAAGAGATTTTAGTGTCGAAATTGATAATGACCTAGGTTGAATGTTTCATGGCAAATGAAATTGGAAATTCAGGAAAAATATATATATATATATATATATATATATATATATATATATATATATATATAAACAAAACACAGACAGACACACACAAACACACACACACACACACACATATATATATATATATATATATATATATATATATATGGCAATGAGAAAAAACAAATGGAGTAAAAAAGCCACAGTTCGTACCATTTACATTTTAAAAAGTGCTCAATACAAAATAGAACAATAGATTGTTATTGTAAAAGATTATAATAACCTCTTCTTTATAAAATATTTTATCATAATCTTTTTTAATATATATATATATATATATATGTGTGTGTGTGTGTGTGTGTGTGTGTGTGTGTGTGTGTGTGTGTGTGTGCTAATTGTAATATTAGACGTTTCTTTCGAAAGAATCATTCGGAATTTATTGATTGAACAGGCAGCATATCATTTCAGTTGAAATATATTAAATCTTTAAATATTATAGGAAAATATATTTCTCATATGCAGTAGCTGTTAGCGCTCTTTCAAGTAGTGGTGGCTGTTTCCTTGCTGACCTTCTGTTTGAAGTAGTGTAGAACGTAAGCATCTTGATTGTGTCATTACTCTCTCTCTCTCTCTCTCTCTCTCTCTCTCTCTCTCTCTCTCTCTCTCTCTCCCTTCCTTCCTATATCCATATCATTTTAGTTGTTGAAAGTCTTCAAGTGATGTTTCTGTTGTCTGGTACACTTCTTTGTTTGATATGATAAGTGAAAAATAGGAAAGGTTTATAAATCTAACATGTTTCTATTTTATTAAAGCTTCATCAGAGAATGAGATATGGAGAAAAAGAAAGAGAAAAAATTCTGGTATTTTTAATTTTTGTGTTTATTTTTATTGGTTACACACTCTTTACAAGCACTTGTGAAGCAGCGTTCGTGTTTATAATTTATATATGTAACTGTATCGTAATTCTAGTTAATGAGGCATTTGGATGTAAATGTATATTCGTTTGGGTGTGTGTAAGTGTGTGTGTGTGTGTGTGTTTGTTTCTAGTAACCATTTTTGTTTGTTTCGTGATTGTCCGCGTGTTGATTTCAGAACGTTTATACGTAACATAGGATGTAGTATTAGTAGTAGTCGTTCGTAGACATATCTTAGATTCATTAAGTATTGATTTTATATTGATTTTAAGTATTGATTTTATTTGTGATGCAACATAATTTGTTTAGCCTATGTTTATGGACAGTGAAATATTTATCAGAATTCGATCGAATTATTGCCCTGGTTCTTTTTAAAAATAAGTGTGGCACTTTTAGAACCAAAGTTATTGTCTGTTCCTGTGTATTTCGGGCGATTTTAAAGTGTTGTACCAACGTAGTTCCCTCTTATGTTCGTAGATGTGGGCTACCTAGATGTCTCACCAATGTAAGGGTTTCTACATTGCAAGCGCTTTATTTCATAAAGTTCTTTGTATTTCTATAGCTTCGAAGAAGTATGATCTTGGTCAAGACACACAGGCTACAGTCGTTCAAAACAATTATTGATTCTAAATCTAACATTATTGTATCTTTTCTTTCTACAGTACGTAATTTTACCATATTTAATTAGATGTATATTTCTACAGTATTTTTTTTTTTATATTGTTTTTCTTCTTTTGAAATTCTGTTTATTATTTTAAATGTACAACATAAAGATTCAGCAAAAAAATTAAGTAAATTAGAAAAACAATGAATAATTATTAATCATCAACGTTTTGCATTGGGTTTTTATTTTACGGTTTATCAACCTTTTCAGGCTATTCAAAGGAAGAAGCTTTTTTTTAGATTGTAATAAAATTTTCTCAATAATAATGATTTACTGATCAGTTACTTATGTGTCATTCATGATACCTGACTTAAGAGGGAATTTCTTTCCCGAACTAGGTTGACATTTATATAACTACTTCCTGAAGGAATCATGTTTTCCACCCTGTTGGAAGTCCTAATCCATTGTTCCTGTCTTTAAGAAGTCTGGATACCCTTCCGACCCTTCTAGTTACCCTCCTATCAGTCTCCTACCACTCTTCGGTAAAGTCTTTGAAGCTTCAATCAACGCCGCATTTGTCATGCACCTTACATCCCATAATCTGCACTCCGACAAACAATATGGTTTCCGCTTTTCTCGTTCTACAGCTGATGTGCATACGGAGCACTTCATAATAACGGAGAAGCTCGTGCCGTTGCTCTTAATATCTCCAAAGCGTTTGATAGGGTTTGGCATGCCGGCCTTCTTCGCAAGCTTCATGGTTATGGAATTACAGGTCGATTGTTCGAGTTAATACAATTATTCCTGTCGAACCGTACATTGAAGGTCGTTCTCAACGGATTCTCCTCCAGCTCCTATCCCACGAACGCAGTTGTTCCCCAAGGCTCTATCCTAGACCCTATTCTGTTCCTTATCTTCATTAACGATCTTCCTGATGTCATAGATTTCTAAGTAGGCATCTATGCGGACGACACTACGATTTACTCCTGCCTCAAAAACAAATCTAGTGTCGCCGACAAAACTAACCTGGCCGTTCGTCTTGAAAAGGACCTTCAATCGGATGTGGACTGTGGCAGGAATTGGCTGGTTAACTTTAATGCCTCAACAACAAAACTGCTCTCTATTACTCACCAGAGAGAACCAACCCTGCCTCCCATTAGAATGTCTGATGTTCAACTGCACGAGAGCACCTCTTTGCGACTTCTCGGTCTCACATTGTCTGCTGACTTGAGATGGAACGAATACATTGAGCCAATAGTTTCGTCCACCGCAAGGAAAGTTGGCTCCCTGTGTCGCACCAGGAAATTTTTTCTCGCCGGAGTCGATCCTTCAAATCTACAGATCAACCATTCGCCCTTGCATGGAGTATTGCTGTCACATATGGTCTGGAGCTAATTCTGTTTTTCTCAAGGTCCTTGATAAAATCCAGAGATAGATATGCCATGTAATTGGCCCTGATCTGGCATCTCGTCTGCGGTCGCTCTCTCACGGATATGCCGCTGACTCCCTCTGTCTATTTCACAAATACTTTCACGGTAACTGCTCCGATGAGCTGCTTTCTCTGGTTCCCAGACTTCATGAATTTAACCGTTCAACTAGACTGACATCTCGCTCTCACCCTTTCATTGTCGAAACTATTAAATGTAGCTGTCTCTTCTACTCAAATAGCTTCATGTCTCGCACTTCTCGCCTGTGGAGCTCCCTCCCCATTTCTTGTTTTCCTGATAGCTATACTCTCCAACTATTCAAATGTAACGTCAATTGACGTCTCCAGATGCCCTGATCTATCCCCTAACCTTGTCTTCATCCTTTCATCTATCACTCCTATTTGCTCTCGCCTCAACTCTCTGTAACCCCTTGCGTGCTAGTGGTTTCCCGCTTTGCTTGGGGTTGAATGCTTAAAAAAAGAAAAAAGCTCCTGGGATTCCCAAGCGCTCACTCGTCTAGGTACATAATAAGCTCGACGTTGTTTAAGTTCCGTAATCTTTTAAGAACTGGTGTTAAACGTGATATAGTCGTAAGGCTCAATGTTTTGCCCTACCGCCCAAAATATACAGTTATTAATACAACAATGTCTGATTCTTATTTCTGGGGAGAAAGAGAGAGACAGACAGACAGACAGAGAAAAAGAGTGAGAGTATTGGCAAAATACGTGCATTGTGATTCAAATGTCTGAAAACTTACTTATACATGCCAGGCTCTGATATAAGAGATGCAACATATAAATACAATCTTATTTGTCATTTTCAATGCAATCACTAGAAGGAAGAGTAAAATTTGAAATGTTTCTTTAGTGATTTCTATTGATGATAGCCCACAGGTCAATATGTCATTATGTAAACAAACCTCACGGTCCATTGAATTTTGGCCCTGTTTTACTTTTGAGAATTCGTTCTCCTTAAGAAACTACTCGATTCAGATGATTGGGTTTTCATGAAAACAAATCAGTCTCAAGGGAGCTTAGAGATAATTGCCGATTTTGACAGGGAAAGTAATATATCACTAGTCATAATTTTCGGACGAATTGGCGAGTATAGCAGTAAGGCACAAGGATGTGCCCAATTTAAAACGAACGATCATGGCTCTCTACTATTTCCTGTCATCTATTGCTCTAAGTAATTTCTGAAATATTACGTCAGCCTTTCTTTCATTCACTAAAAATCGTTAAGTAGATGCCTCACTATTTAGCGCTACTTTTCTTCAATATATTAAATGAGTATTTCTTAAATGTCTAAGAAACCACATCTGTCGCTTTCAGGTAAATCATTTCCAAGTTACTATCCGGCTGAAATTGCCCCAGACCAACTTAATTTATCTAATTTCACGAAACTAATTAACTTTCTTAATTAGTTCTTTTTCTGTATTATATTACATTAATCGTTAAACTTAATGATCGGCTCCATGTTCCGCTCCAGAAAGTATTTGATTCCTACTGAAAGGAACTATCTCTACAAGAAAGGGAACAGATGAGATAAGAAAATGCAGTTTTAGTGCTACATCTGCACCGAGGCTGAAGTATCGTCACTCTCAAACCTCGACAGAGTTCAAAAGCATTTGCCCTGCGTTGTGGATATTGAATTCTTTTCCAAACTTCTCTATTCTGTCGCTGTTTTTATGACAGATGTTCGACAATTTGTATTCCGTAGTTCGTCCTGAATCGACATCCACTGCTAGTCTCCGCCAGACCGCATACACTGAGTCGACCCATCCACATACCGTTCTTAATCCACTGGTAAGGAATAAGTTACACTTAGACAGCCTCTTCCCTCTCTTAGACGTGGAAGGGATTCTTGCAAGGGCGCTTCCCTGATCACTGCAACCTCTTCAAACTCTTCAAT